GACTCGACCACCAAGGGACACGCTCACTCAAGGCGACATCCGAATTCGGAGACCTCTCTCTCCTCGGTACACGGAGCAATCCGTAATTCCGAGAGCCGAGACGGTTGCCACCACCAGCACACCAGAGACTCGATCCATCGCAGTACAGACTTCACCGCCCAGAGCCTGCTCAGAGAGCAGTTGTCAGACGGAAGACCACTTCCCGAACGGCGTTCCACCGACGCCGGGAAAGGGGCTGCAACGAGCTAACTCAGTTGAACCGTCCTTTTTAGGACCCGTTCAACACACTAAGACGCGGCCGGTAATTTCTTACCGCGCCCGTCAATTTTTCTTTTGATTCTCGGCCTTACACTCTTGCCGAGAAAGCGCCTCTGGCGCCCTTAATCAAATCAAACACAAAACTTGTACTTTACTCTACTTCTCTGACGAAGAAAAATAAATTATATTTTTCTAAGAAATTGGTCTCAATATCTTTCAACCAAGTCGAACACAATCCTTAGGCTATACGCCTATATATGCTTTCCCTATTTTTATTCTTATGTAATTAATACAAAAAAATAAATAAGTTAAATAATTATTCAATACATATATATACATATTGAATATAGTTACCTTTATTTTGCATTTTATGTAATGACTGAAACGATATATACTCTCATTATTTCAGTCGTTATCATATAAAATACAAAATAAAGATAACTATTTATTCAATATATGTGTATATGTATATATTAATTAATTGATTAATTAGTTATTTTGTATTTACTACATAAGAATAAAAATAAGAAAAGTATATGACATTTTTCTTCAGTGATATACAGGGTGTCTGGCAATAATCGTCCCACCGGTCATATACAGGTAGAGGAGGTCAAACCGAGTAGAAAAGTCCTTTACCATTTTTTAATTTTTGAAATAAGTGCTGAGTAATTAACGAAAAAAGATCGGCAAATTCGCGCGAGTAAAGCGCGCGCGGCGAGAAAAGATAGCCCACTATTGCGTGGTCGCTAGGATCTAGCATTACGCACCGCTCGTATGTTGCCGTTGTCAATTGTAGAGCGCTCCTCCCAACGCTTCATCGCGCGCCTAGTGATCGCGTAGCAGTGGGACGTCCTTCTCGCCGCGCGCGCTTTACTCACGCGGATTTGCCAATTCTTTTTCGTTAATTACTCAGTACTTATTACAAAATAAAAAATTTTTTCCCATTTCTCAAAGTCTATCTTCAAAATTTGCCATTTTGTAAAACATTTTGCATAACTCAATTTTGGCTGTTAAGAGAAATGTTCAAGCTTTAATTTGCGATTTTTTTCATCCCAATACAATGATTTTTTGCTAAGTTATCGCTATTCAAAGATGTTGAAAAATTGTGCTAAAGTTTGGTGACCCGTTTTTTTTGCGGATGAGTGTATTTAAAAGAAGTATATATTGAGACAAATTATAGCAAGTCACAAAATTAATGTTGTTTTTATCAAGATTCTTTTACAAATGATACATACAAGAAATTAAAAATACCTTTAAATTTCATGCTTTATAAATAAGTTATATGACATATACATTTATTATAAAAATATATACAATATACAAAATAATTAACTTTTTACGTAGATACTTTGATGTGAATATACATAATATGAAGCAAATACATAAGCGAATACATAATATGGAGTGAATATACATAATATACATAATATGTACACATGAAGCACATGAATAAAAGTATTTTGCAGAAATTAGAATATGAATGTATGTAATTAAATAATGTAAATGTTTGCAACAATATTGCAAAATTGAATGTATAATAAATACATACTTTTTTTATTCTTCAAAGTGCCTTCAACCCATCTTCTTCAGTCGGGTTTCTTAGCACACACACACACACACACACACACGCGCGCGCGCGCGCACGCACACCTCACCTAAAAGATTTTGATGTATATGACAGATAACACTGAGAACTGTATAGCGCCTCTAGATCATAATCCAGAACTAATCTATAGCTTTTTTTACCTCATTATCATCTATATTGCACGCATGCTTTGCATAAATTCTAATTCAGGAAATATTTTTAGACTACTTCTCGTGCGTGCGTGCGTATAGAATAATTAAATATATATATATTATGTATTAATGAAAATAAACATTATTTATGTAGCGAAGAAAATGTTACAATTTCCTAAGAGATGCCTAAACAACCCAGCCTATTTCTAATATAAAACGCTCCTGAGCCAGAGCTATCGGCGGCTCGGTCGCCAGCGGCCAGGCGGTAGTGGGGGAACAGGAGGCGTCGCCTCGGGAATCGGCCCGAAATGTGCAACTAATTCCGAGCGCTGGTTTAGGAGATATAACAAATTAAAGTTTCAAAAATTTAATACTCTACTTTAGGTGTTATAAGCTGATATTACGAACAGTGAAATTTGTGTATGTCGTACTAATCTGTTGAAAAATGTAAACAAAGCTACATGATCATAGATATTATGTCAACAGTCCGCTATCTATTTCTCGCAATTCGTTAACAGCATTCGACATGCGACTGCACGAATTAAATATTTATGGAATACGTGTGGGCGTAACCTCCATTCATATTGGTAATTTTGTCGATAAATTTAAACCATTGGTTAAAGTTAACCGACATTGAAAAAATAGTGGCCCTTAAACATCTCTGCTGTGGCAGAAAAACAACTAAACTAAGACATTTTATTTAGTCAGAGAGACATGTTTTTTAGATATTTTTTTGTCTTGCCAAAAAAATGATTAAAAAGATGACCAAAAAGGTACCCAGATAGTACATGTTCGTTTCATATATGTTTCTTAAATGTATCCAGTGGTTTTATATACGTTTAGGAAACATGTATGAAACGAACATGTGCCACCTGGAATGTCTTTCCGTCAACTAAAATTAATTATGATTTTTTTGTGTAATTAGAAAGACATCCTTTAAACGTCTTTTAGCCTTGCCGAAAAGATGACTTAAAAAAGAAATCTTTTTGTCATTGTTTAGTTTTATATGCTTTATGGGTTATTTTTAGTCAATACTGTCACGCTCGAATCACCTTATGTATTATATACTTTATGTATAATTTTAATAGTTTTTGTATTATCGAAAAAAAAATAACATTTGGAATATATTATGATAATTTAAAGATGTATTATAAAACAATCGATAAATATGGATACGTAAATTACGATACATAATGGAGGCCGTCGCGTAACACATTGCAAATTGAATATAAGGTGAATCGATTTAATAACGAAGCTCATTTGTTAAAGGTGAAAGCTTGGAGAAGAGATAATAAAAGTGTTCATACATCGAATCGACGACCACGAAATGGCTGTTATCGAATCGGAATGCAAATCAAAATCACGCATGAAACTCTCGCTGATGGAATGCTTACCAATAGAGAATTTATCGGCGGTCAATGAAAAACTATCGCCGATTCAGGAGTTTTATCATGGCCAAAGCATCTTTATCACTGGCAGTACCGGTTTTATAGGCAAGCTGGTGATCGAGAAACTTCTTAGAATGTGTCCTGGATTGGGATCTATCTATTTGCTAGTGCGTCCCAAAAAGTGCAAAAATGTGCAACAACGCATTGAAGAGATCTTTGATAATGTGGTGAGTCTTTAATCCTTTGAGCGCAGAGCGCTCTAAAACTAACAAGAAAGGTTTGGCAATTCGGATTTTCTAATAGCGATTTCGGCTGGTCTGCACTGGTGTACCACCTGTGTAGAGTTGGTGGAAGTGTGTGCAGTGCGTACACCCATACAGTGTTGCACTCGATATTTCGACTACCACCACGGCAGTGTATATCTTTTCAGCCGAACACAGAGTCATGAGACGCGAATCGGCATACAACGTGTATGATACAAGTAAAATATAAAATTGCAAAATTTATCGCGATGGCTTCATCTTCGTCTTTGAATAGTGAGTATATAAATATACGTAATAAAAACATTAATACTTATATTAATATATAAAATTTAATACGCATTCAGTATTTAGAGATTTATTTTCCTAACCTAAAATTCTAGAGTTGTACAGAAATATCTATAAATAATCATTGCTTTCAGATAATAATGATTCCGATATCCCGCAATGTGGTTTCTGCGATATGTGGGAAACAATGGTCCAAATATTTAATCACATGAAAAAGGAACATTCTCAATCGTTCGATGACGACATCGTAGACAGCGACGAGTCGAATCATAAAAATAATAACATCAAAACTACAAACTCTGACGAAATAGTCTGGTAAGATAAAGAATAGGTATTGTTAATGCTATTAGTTACTTTATAAGGAATTGAACACACACACACACACTAACTACACTATAAATAATGTATGTTATAACAGTAAGATCGGTCGTTGAATGGGGTGAACCCGAAACAAAATTCTTGCTATCAAAATACAACGACTACATGACATCCGTCGGCTCTCGCAAGACCTTTAGGACAGTGAAAAATATGTTCCAACGCATATCGGAAGATTTGAAAGAAGAGTTGGATATTACTCGAAGTTGGTCGCAATGCCAAAATCGTTATAAAACTATAATGCGACGTAAGAGAGACGCTGTTAATAATAATAATTCAACGGGTCGAAATCGTATAACTGTACCTTATGTAGCGGAATTATCAGATGTAGTGGCTAAGGATGATAGTATCCTATCAGAGGTAATGTTTTAAGTTGAAGATATAAAATACTTAAAACACAAGAAATTTTTTTTTATTCTTTTGTGAATGCTAAAACATTACATATTTGTATATCAAGTAAAAGAATCCTGTAAACAGATATCATTATATAATGTTTTTAGTTAGTTTTACCAGTTACATTTTGTAATGTTTTATTTTGTGTTTCACATAATTTTAAATATATTTGAATAGAATTCATTTGAAATCATTTGATTAGTTGATGCAAATAACAGGCAATCATAGAATTCTGTATTGTACTGAAAAATAATTAATTATAAGGAAAGTAATTAATTCTAAATGAATTTATTAAAGGATTTGTGATGTCATAAGTGTATATACTATATATATGTATATTCACTATACAAACTCACTGTTATTGATATATACATATTTAATAATTTATTTTTATGAACTTTTAATTCGTCTTTCACTGCCCAATAATCTAAAAGTCATTTCATTCATATTTTTCTTACTTTCTTGCGAAATACATGTCCTCTATTCTGCATTTTATATTTATGTTACAGGTACTGATGGGTACAAAACGTACAATTCTTAACAAAAAGACTCCTGATAATTTCTTGCTAGAAAATATAAATGACAATGTTGAGAAGCAATCAAAGATAAAAAGGAAGAAAAAAGAGGAAACATCCATTAATAATATTTTGAAAGAAGCTTACACCAAAAAAGAAGAAGGTAAAGAAAGAAGGCACAAAGAAAAAATGGAACTCTTAATGAAATTTGTAGAAAAACAAGTTGGTCCTTTGGATGCATGAAAAGAAAAAATTTAAGATTTAATATTAAGAAAAAAATTAAAAATTTAGATTTTATGCCTAATTTTTCATATTTTAAGTTATAAGTATATTGAGAAAGATTAGTATAGTAAGAAAAGAAAAGATTTAAGATCCAAGATTTAGATTTTACGCCTAACTTTTCATATTTATAGTTATAATAGTTATAATTATATTATAGTTGTTAGTCATACATTTGATGACAAATGACTATAAATAAATGTAAAAAAGACGAAATTAGAGTAGATGTTGATTTTTAATTTCACTGTTTTATTATTTTTTATCGCGTTACATGGCTTTTAAAATAATATGAAAAATTAGGTGTTCTCTAAATTCTTTTCAGTAATATATACATTCTGCAGAAGGCTGTAATTTTTGTTTAGTTGCAATAAAAAAAGTGATTTAGAATTTAAGAACTTAAATAGTTAAGAAATTTAAGAAGTTAAGTTTTAATTTTCCAGCATAATTAAGTTTGGTTGCAAATTGTTCTTTAACTACTCTTAATGCTAGTCAACACAGCAAATTTGTATGTTACCTGATTATAAGTATATAAATAAGAGTTGAAATCCCCGTTGCAATCAAATTGTTTGTAGGGGTGTTAGAACCTATCCAGACAAATTTATTAACAACATAATCGCATACTATGCAAATTTGTCTGGATAGACTTTTAAAGATTCTATAGAATTAAGAGTTTAAAAAGTGTTCCAAATGTATGTTTAAGACTTCTGTACCTTGAAAAAAAATGTTATTAAATTTTTGAGAATTAATTTTTATTTGCGATGCTATCTCTTCGGCACATTGAAATAAATAATACATCACATGCGTGAATAGTAAGTGCAGTGTATTTTTTTTATAAACATGACGTTATTTATAAATATATTTTTATTTATAAACATAAAATAACAATATTTATTTGCAGTCATCTATTCATTCGGTTGCGGATTTCATCGCGCTTTCTTTCACCCTGTTGCCTTAATATAGTTTCATTATCTTCAAGTTCTACTGGCTCATTAAACTGTTCTTCGTTTAACACGTCATCACATCGAAATAAATCGTTCGAATCAATACACATGTTATGTAATACGCAACACGCTATAATGAAACGACTCATTTTTATAAACAGTGTGAAAATCCAATAACATTAGTTGCCGAAATCTACCTTTTAACAATCCGAATGCATTTTCGATTTTAACTCTAGTCGCTGACAATTTTTCGTTAAATTTTATGTGTGACGGTGTTAAATTTCCGAAATCCTTGTAAGGTGTCATGAGAAATTCTCTTATAGGATAGGCACTGTCACCTAATAAATGAAAACTTCCATTTTCGCAAATCTCCTCTATATTCTGTTTTAAAAATGATAATTTGAAAGTTCGACTGTCATGAAGTTTTCCAGGAACTCCTGTGAAAACATCAAGAAATCTTTTTCTGTCGTCGCATACTGCTTGCAAAACTATGCTTGTCGTATGATATCTGTTTGCGTATGTCGTCCGCGATTTATGTGCAGGAGTACGAATGTTGATGTACGAACCATCGATACATCCAATTACTCTATCAAAACCAAAAATCTAAAACAAATCGGCGTTTGTTTTTTAAATGTATAACACTTTTTTTAATGATATCGATATGTGTTAAAGCCACACTTCCCTTTTTTCAGGCATATTTTTATTTCTTTTACTGAGTTTTTTATATTAAACTTTGGGGATATATAAAAAAAAAATATCAATAATTTCTACCTGTACGCTCACGACTTTCTTCCAAATAATATTTAGAGGAAATATTTTCAAGATAAACTTTAAGAAAATGTAAAATAGAAAGAAATTAATTTGTTGTAAACACAAAAAAGGGAATTCTGGCCTTAATTATTGAATGATATAAATGAAAAACAGTACAGTTATTTGTATAATAGATAATTAATTAAAAACAGAATATATATTATATTTTAAAATAATTACAAAAACAGACGTTTCGGCCTAAAAGACGTGGCCATCTTCAGTGTAACAAATTAATATGTCGTCGTTAGTCGGAAAACGTTGACAAGATAGTCAGAATAATTTAGGTAACGCATCTTGTTAATGTGAAAACGAACAAAACGAGTTAAGAACGTTCTCCAATCACGAAATTAACGAACAACAGATTTTAGAAAATTAACTATGTATAAATACCTTTTATTTTGACATGGATAGTACATTTTTTCATAATTAAACTTATGTGAAGCCAAGGATCATCGTAACTTGCAAATAGAAAAAGAAATAGGTCGGAGATTACTAAAAAATTTTTAAAAAGAAAATTGACTCACAAGGAAAGGGACTCAAGTGCTTTCTCGCACGTTTAGGGTTGAAACAACCCCTACAAGCTAAAACGGTTTTTTTGATTTTGACTAAATATCGTCAAAACTGTAAGAGGTATCAAAAAATCTTTCGAATAAAAGTTGCATGGTCTTTTATGAGCTTTATATCCGCGTAGGTCGATTTTTAAAAAATTTTATATTTTTTAATTTACTCCTACCCCTTTTTATTATTTTTACAAATTTCAAAATTTTTGTTATGACAAAAGTTGTAGCATTTTTTATGCTGAATACAACCATATATGATTTTATTATGTTTCGAAATCGCATCTTTCAGAAATGAGCTGTCAATGTCGCACTATATGCGTCGCGCTGCGATATATGCATATATATGCATAACGCATCGTTTGTGCCGCTTGTGTAATCGATGTTTGTCGCGCATGTGTAATTGATAAGACGAATAAAATTAGAAATAAAGATTAACATGTTATAGAAATATTACGGAAAAATGTTCTGATACAAAGAACAAAGTT